TCCTTGAATATTTCCACCATCAGCGCTTGACAAGCAACTTACAATAACTTGTAGCATGGGCAGATTATACTCTTTTTTTCCAACCAGATTAAGGAAGAGTCTAAAAACTGATAAATAATTATCCAGTACTTTGGGAGATAATTTTCTATTGCTAATAGTAATGTAAATTAGTGCAGCCTTTATGGAAAGATAATTAATAGATCTCCTAAGCAGTAACTTTAACATTATTCATGCCATTTACATAGTAATTCCATTTCTGGGAGCCTGTTGTAAAGAAATACAACTACATGTTTGTCATAGATGTTTGTTGGCAAAAATTAGAAACTTGAATATCAATCTTATGGAAATGCTTGAACAAATTATTCCTGACACTAAATAAAATATTATGCAGCCTTTTAAAAGCTCTATTTATGCAGAGTACAATAGCATGTTAAAAAGTAGGCTGAAAATTTGTCTCTACAGTATGATCATAACCACAGAGTAGAGTAGATGGAGGGAATCTATGCAAATGAGGAAAAAAGACTACAAGTAGTTTGCTCCATAATATCATTGGTTATATTTGCTGACAAAATAGGAGTAAGAGGATTTTGCTTTTTCTCTTATTCTTCTGGATTTTCCATAGTTACATTGATAATTCTATATTACTTCAAAGAAAAAGTAAGTGAAAAATCTAGTTACTGAATAGATGGTTGGAAGACATACAAAAGAGGAAGGTAAGTCATGCTGCCAATGTGATCATAACCTCTGCTGCCACCAAGTTGTTCCTGGTTTTCTTCTTCAGATTCATGCGTGGACAACTTGGGGAACTAATAACCTTTATTGCACAAAGGAAAAATCTACCCTGAGAGGCTTTAATTAATTATTTTCTGACTTTGACTTTATTTGATCACCTACATTTAGCCTTGGGCCAAGTCTTATTATACAAAGAAAAATAAACATCTTTTTAAATAGTGTGCATTAATTTTATTTACTTTTCTCTGTCTTTCATAATTTAGGATTACTGATTTTATTCTCCATTCCTCACTGTGCAAAAACCTATAAAATACTTTTATAACAAGGGTAAAGAACATAATATAATCTATGTCTACATAAAATATTATCTCAACCAACATTAAATATGATTTGGAAACAATGTATTACTTGGAAAATCATTATAAAGCATACTAAAATCATTATTTGAAGAGGTGTTTTTAAAAATATCTGCTAGATTGTATTAAACCTAAATAAGATAATCTGGTACTTAAAAGTTTATTTTAATGAGGGGAATGCACATTTAATGCTTTTTCTCAAGTATTTCCTTAGCATTCTGTGGTGAATTTCTTTTTGAGAAAGCACCTACCTACCTACTTTGTTTTTATGATTACTGTTTCATTAGACTTAAAATAAGTCTAATGAAAAAAGTTCCTTTTTAAAATCCTTGTTTGTATAACATTGTTTATATAATAACACTTGACATGCACAGGTTTGAAATATATTCTTTTTTCTTACAGATCTCCAAACAGGAACAGAAAAAAATGGATACATTTGATGGAGGCATGGCTGAAACCTCATCTCGGTACAGTGGTGCTCAGGACAGTGGAATTGGCAGTGACAGTGTTAAAATTAGAATAGTGCAAATAGAGCAGCACAGTGGTGCTAGTCAGCACCGCATTGCCCGTCCCTCACGCCAGTCATCAATTGTAAAAAATCTAAATTTTATTCCTTTTGACATATTTATTACAGCAAGTAGAATCTCACTAATGACCTATTCCTGTACAGCCTTGCCCAAATCAAAATCACAAGAACAGAAGGAAGATGAAAAAACAGGCAAGAGTTCATTAAATCTTTCAGAAGTTGATTCAGATGTTGCTAAGCCCAACCAGGCATGTATTTCCATGGTGACAGCAGAAGATCTCTTAAGCAGTAGCACTTCTTTAACTTCAGGAAAAAAAATAGGGGTTCTCTCTCTTGAAAGTCTTCATGCATCCATGAGATCATCTGCAAGACAGGCACTTGGCATAACTATTGTCCGGCAGCCTGGTCGAAGAGGAACTGGTGACTTACAACTAGAACCGTTTTTGTACTTTATTGTGTCCCAGCCTTCCTTGCTTCTGAGTTGTCACCACAGAAAGCAGCGAGTGGAAATATCCATTTTTGATGCTGTGCTTAAAGGGGTAGCCTCTGATTACAAATGTACAGGTAAGAGCCTTCAAATTACTAGAGATTAAATAATTACTACTGTATTATAAATTTTATTCCTGTAGTTTCAATACTGATCAAACAGAAAACAGCTGGCAGAGCAGACACCCTTCTTTTCTCGACAGAATATATAAAGTGCATGTCCCACAGCTGAATCGTATTTAAATTTGAAATTTACCAAGGCTTAGCCTTAACATTCTTGCTATGCCTATGAATGTTCACTTTTTCTTAGGAGGTGAATGAAAAGGAGAGTCGTTCTTGGCTATAGAGATGCTCAACAATTTTTCCAGTGTGGGGGAAGCTTATCTTTTTTATATATTAATGGCCCAAAGGTATACTGTCCATGTTAATGCAGCTGTATAGATGAAGAAGGAAAATACTTTAACACACGAAGTCTATCATTTGGATGTTCTTTTTGATCTTATCATCTCACTGCACCAGCACAAAATTAAATATTATGGAGAAAGTTTATTAATAAAGTAAGATGATTTGTTTATACATTTACAACAAAAATATTTGTTAATGATGTTCCCTGTTATCCCATTCATACTTATTTTATAACCAGAGGGCATCCTGTATCATAACTATGGAACTTCTGAAGCTCGTTGAAACTAGGAAGGTGCGCAAATATTCAGATTTAAGATATATGAACTCTGAGGTAACTAGGTTTGTTGGAAATGAGCTTGAGTGAGGCAGAATGAGAGGGCTTTTTCCTGAGTTAATGTAGAATTGGAAATTTGGAGGCAAAGTCTAGAAGGTAGTTAGGTCACCCAAGACTTAGTATTTGAAGAGAACCCTAGAAAGCACAGGTGTAGTTCAGGCATTGTGTTGCTATAGGTGGTCTTAGTCCCATGTAGCAGATGGATACCAGCAGTGAGGCATTTGGAGAATTAGTCTGATCTGAAGGCAGGCTGGTTTGCTGTGGGCATTTAGAATGTCCATTTTATACAGCAGGACCCTGGAGAGTAGACAGCAAGTGTAGGGATCAAGAAAGCTCAAGGTAGTAGGATTGAAAGAACCCTAGTTTCTTGCCAATGCTTAATTCAAGTCCCCTGCTTTACCAAAGGGGTAACTGGCCAGTTGCTACGGAAAGAGTGACCAGGGTTACCCCTTAGGCTGCTTAATAGACCTCTCTCCAGTGATGTGCTAGGTCTGGCTGCTCATACTGGCTTAAAAGACCCAATTGTTGAAAAAAAGTTTCAGGAACTTTGCAAGGCAATTAATTGTTAAGTCATTAGTAGCTTAAATCAGCCATGATAGGAGTATTTACACTATCAATATGAACAATTAATCAGCTCTCATATGCCAATACATTTGTTAAACATTTATCAGCATTACTGCTTCCCTTCTTCAAATACACTTGTCATTTCCTTGGTGCCTACAATACAATAAATAGGTATTTCAGAAGTAGTGGAGGGCTGGAGATGTGGCTCAAGCGGTAGTGTGCTCGCCTGGCATGCATGCGGCCCGGGTTCGATCCTCAGCACCACATACAAACAGAGATGTTGTATCCACCAAATACTAAAAAATAAATATTTAAAAAATTCTCCCTCCCTCCCTCTCCCCCCCCCTCTCTTTAAAAAAAAAGAAAAAGAAAAAGTAGTGGAGATGAGGATGGTACTGGAGTGGTATAACATGTTATATGGCTCAAGGACTCATGCCTACATATCTAGTACCTGTTTGAAGGTCTGCTTGACATTGGTGAAAACTGGGTCCAGGATTATGAAAATAAATCTTCATTTCTAGCTCTTCATTAAATTCATTTAGCTGCAGTCAATCTGTAGGTAGGTGGCTTCTGTGGTCCTGGAAGAGATAAGTAGAACAGGGGAAAGGACTGATATGAACAGCTATGACTCTTCCAGACTAGTATTTGTAGGGATACACAGATCCCAGAAGCCTTGTTTTGTTTACTTCAAGCCCAACCTTAGGATACTCTGTGTATATCCTCTGCCTTTGAAAATAATCACTGAGCTGAGGCAAGCAAAGGTCCACTATAACAGAAGAAAGCTACCATTGATATATTTGTTTCCATTTTCCTGAATTGTAGGAGTTGGTCTGCTTTAATCCATTTTATTAACATACTCCTAAATCATAAGTTTATATATTCTATCTAAATCTCTATACAGCAAATTTATGAGGTCTCATTCCAAAGATAATCATTTGAATTATATCTTCATAAGTTAAAAATAATGAAGTATTTTGCTAGGGAGTGGAGGATTCTGTATGTAAGTGAACATAGAACCCAATTTCAGCAGATGAAGCTAGAATGAAAATCATGAGCTAGGGTTAGTATGGAATATATGTGTGGGAGGAAAAAGTCTTTCTTGCCTTAAAGGGGCTTCCACTACATGATATCCTTGTGGATACCATTCCTTATATAAAAGTCATCTACCTGGACACTTACATGATCTAAATGCAGTAATTCTGTACTCACTCATAACCAAGAGTTATCAATGCACATAATCATGTTTCTTAAAATTGAACTTAATGATCTGGCAAAATTGATCAGGAAGCTAAAAAAGGAAAAATACAGTGGTTATAGAAAGATGTAATTAGCATTTATTTAGTACTGACTCTGCCAGGCACTGTGCTAAGTGCTTTAAATGCATTATTTTGTTTCATTCTAAAAACAACTCTTTGAGGAAAGTTATATTTCATATTGCAGATGAGGAAACTAACTAAAAGGGAAATTAAGTTATTGCCCAAGGCCACAGACCTAGCAATAAACAGAGATATAATTCAAACCCAGGATTTGTTGAACTTCTGAGCCTGGACTCTCAAACTCTAGAATCTCTGAAGTGAAGAACAAGATATGAATCAACGGATCTCTCAGACTCCATTGGCCTACTCCAGACAATGCAAATGCTTCCCTAAGTTTTAACTGGAAAATTTGTACAAAGTTAAATGCATACATAATGTGACTACATGGTCCCACCTGTCTTACTAGTGTCAAACAACTGGGTTCAAATTCTAACTCTGTCATAAGATATATACCTATCTCATAAAGCAGTTGTGAAAATGAAGGATTTTTTTAAAATAACTCTAAAGTACTTAGAATTGAGTACTTTAGTAATGAGTAGAAGGCCCTCACAAATGTTTGCTGTTTCAGATTTAGTTGTTCTTATTATGTAGTATAAAAATTACTACTAAACTAGAAAGTAGAAAAACCAAGATTTTATTACTAGTCCTACCTTTAATTGGCACAGTGATCTTATCCAGGTAGTTGACTTCTTTGGGTTTCTGTTTACTTATCTGTAAAATGTGATGATTATAAAAGTTCTAAAGTTCTGTCATGCTGTAATTTGGAATTTCTCTCTCCACCATTACCTTTCCAAAAATATTTTAACTATACTGCTTTAGCCTCAGGGAGTTGAATAAGTCACTACCATATCTGGTTATTTTTTTTTTTTTTTACTTGTTTTAAAGATGAAATCTTTCTTTGAAACTTTCAGGAGAATACTGATTGTTTCTTCACAGTTATAAATGCATAAATGTTATTAAATGTCAATGAAATGATTTTTCAAAAACCAATCTGGGAAATTTCTGATCTATTGGTCCACGTGCGTGAACCCATTAAAGTCCCATTATCAATTTGATTATCCAAAAAGACTTTGTGCGCTCCATGTAGTGGTACGTACCTATAATCCCAGCAATTTGGGAGGCTGAGGCAGGAGGATCACAGGTTCAAAGCCAGCCTCAGCATCTCAGTGAGGCCCTAAGCAACTCGGCAAGACCCTGTCTCTATATATAAAAAAGGGCTGGGATGTGGCTCAGTGGTTAAGCACTCCTAGGTTTAATCCCCAGTACCAAAAAAGAAAAGGACTTTGTGTGGCACTTTTTCCTCATCCACAAAAGCCCCATTCCATATCCAGTAGTCTTTGGAAGTCCTGAGATAACTAAATCGGTAAAAAGAAAGAGAGAAATATGTTTGGCTATAATGTTAAGGGTCATGGTGGGGAGGGTAGGGGAGGGGAGAGTAAGGCAGAAGTGCCTAGCTCTGTTTCTGATTCTGATGTCCAGCAGTCCTCAGTGCCTTTTAATTGGAGGGCAAAAGAGTGCCATTGTGAAGCTCACCTTTTAAGAATAGTCAAGAAGTTGTTTAAGGTACCATAAGTTAAAGATGGAAGAAGAAACATGTTATGTCATTCTACAGTGTTCTACTTTTCACTCTGAATATTAATCTTTTTCTAAAAGGTAAGGAGAAACAGCCAGGCAATAGCAATTTTGTATATGTATGTGTGTGCGTATGTGTATGTATATGTGTGTGTGTGTGTGTGTGTGTGTGTGTGTATATATATATATATATATATGTATATTCTCTCACACATATGCATCTAATAATTGATTCTTTTCAATATTTTGGACACACATGATGTGGTTGTGGAAATGCTGTTTAGGTTCTTTGTTTCTGTTTTTTAAATTTGTTTTATGAGCTCAAAACTATTTGATTGCACATCAGACAATGAAGACAAAGTATTTCAACTTGAAAAGAACATAGACAGCTCAGCAAGACTGTTAAGAAACCATGAGCAGAACATCCAAGAAATATGGGATAACATAAAGAGAACAAACTTAAGAGTCATTGGGGTACAGGAAGGTATAGAGGTCCAAACCAAAGGAATGAGCAATCTATTCAATGAAATAATATGAGAAAACTTCCCAGACTTGAAGAATGAGACAGAATCCCAAATCCTAGAAGCCTACAGGACGCCGAATGTGCAAAATCATAAGAGATCCACACCTAGACACAATATAATGAAGATGCCCAACATACAGAATAAGGAGAGAGTTTTAAAAGCTACAAGAGAAAGGAAGCAGATTACATTTAGGGGTAAACCAATCAGGATAACAGCTGATCTTTCAACACAGACTCTGAAAGCTAG